AATTATAACCTTGAATTGACAGTTTGATACTTTTAAAATTTTGAGCCAGCCCTACCCCCAAGGGCTGTAGGGTGGGGCTCAAAGGAGTCAGTGTGCTAAAATTTCTTCATTTTCCTTGTTAAGAATCAGAGGTGCTAGTTTCAAATCCTTTTTAGTTGTCTGAAATCTGTATGCTAGATATTGAGTAAGGTGGTTTTATTGTTTTTTGTCACTTTGAATAATATAAAATCAACTCTCTGTATAAATATATCAGGTGACCGTTAAGGCCCATGGGCCTCTTGTTTCAGTTTCTGACACTTTTCTTATGAAACTTCAGATAAATGTGTATGATTTATAGACAGAGTGTAACTAAGCACTTCAATGCCTATTCCCTTAAGGTCAAGGTTATGACAAGGGTGAAGTCTTAAAATGCTTTTCTAGACCAAAACTTGAGATTGCTTTCACATTTTTTATGGTACTTCACATATATTTATTTCATGAACTGAGAGAAAGTATCCATACTATTTCCTACAGTTCATGTCCCAAATGTAATAGTCATGACAAGAGGTCAATGGTCAAATCATTTTAATGCTTTTATATACCATAGCTTCTGATTGCTTTTACATTTTCTTTTGAAAGTTCATAGAAGTCCCTATAATGATTAAACATGATACATTCAGGTCCATATCAAAGAGGTCAAGGTCATCACTAGAGTTCAAAAGTCAAATTATTGTAGTGCATGTCCAAACCATAATACAGTGTATATTGGATAAAGATTTTCCTATGAAAATTGATAGATGATATCCTCTAGGGGCAGAGGAACAGGGATAGATAAGGGAAGTAGGATCCCTAGGCCACGGTGACCTGTAACCTGTGTTTCCTCTGGCCTCGACACCTAACTTAGACATTTTGACAGATAGATGTCTGGTGTGGGACCAGAGCGCACCGCTATATGAAAACATGGAATTCTCCGACACCGTTTGATATCGGGTTGGGGGGGGGGGGGGGGGGGAAATCATATATTCCGTTTTCAGTCAGGATCAATTCAGTTTGTTGATTAGTCACCCAGTGACCTACAAAATGGTGTTTGCTCAGGTACACCAAACGGTGTCGTAGAATTCCACGTTTTCATATAGCAGTGCACTCTGGCCCCACACAAAAATGTATTAATGTCTAAGTAGGGTGTCGTGGCCAGAGGAAACTCGGGCTAGGCTAGGTGACCTGCATAAACAAATGTTTGCCCTTCCCTCAAACTCTTATTCACAAGGATTCTGACTCCAGTTGGTATTTGGTTGTGCTGTGTAAAACGTTTTGAGTAACATCAAATTACTTCTTGAACATAGAAATGTAAATTGGATTTTGTTTTCTTCAACAATTATCCTTTGTAACCAGGGTCAGTTTAAAGGGGTAAATTAACCATTTTTCTGTTTCATACTGTCATTTCAGACCACAAGATGAACCACAGACATGGGTGGGATACTTTGGTCAAGCTCTGAAATCCTCCGCGACATACTTACCGTCACAGGTCACAGAGATGTTTAACCAGGGCAGAGCATTCGCCACATCCAGACTTCCAACATCAGGGCTCCGTAATGTGTGTGCACTGACTATGTAAGTGATTATAATAAATAGCAACACATGATATCTAAACTAGCCCCAAATGGTTTCAAACCCTTGGAATGTTTAACAGTGTTTAAATTATGATGTACTTCTTTAATTTAACCCTAGCTTCAAATCTAAAACTAAGTTTTGAAAAATTTGATACTAAAATTAAAGTAAGTAAACACAGTTTTCAAACTTGTGTTAAAGTGTATTAAAGGTGACTTGAGGGAATGCCCTTATTTCTGTTCTACACTAGCTGTATACTTCTTAGTTTTGTTGTTCATTGTTTTAAGTTACAGGATCCCAGATACATTAAAAGGAAAGATATATAAATTCTTTATTTTATTCTGCAAAGTATTTCTGACAATATCAGTCTTGGTGCGATTGGTTATTAAAACCCACTCAACTTTTTGACTTGATGTCATTATTTGCCTATTTATATTACACTCAATCCCCTTATTGTTTATTTGTAGTATTCAGAAAGTACCACGTTTATTGGTGGCTTCTCAAGATGGCTACCTTCACATCTACAACCTGGACCCCAATGAAGGTGGAGAATGTATGTTACTGCGACAACACAGGTACATCAGGTTTGGTTTGATCATAATTTGTACGTACAGTAAAAACCCACTTCCTCGAACTTGGGTTCCCCCAATACCCCATATTCGTCAAACTAAAATTTGTTTGCTCCTGACCGAGTTTGACATATTCTTTGTAAAGTAACCCCGGATTAGGCGATTCAGGTATTCCTTGAATACCCTGTATTCCTCAAACAAAAATTTGTCCCCGACTCTTCATTGTCACAGTATTAAGCCTATCTATTAGTCGAATAGGTGTGACCTGTCACGCCTGACAGATATGGCACTACTGTCAACATGTCTCAAGGCACAGGCTTTGGTCCACGCTTATTGTGCTTATACAGGTGTCATCTGGACGTCAGTTAATTAGAGGATTAACGGTGGTATCATTAAGTAATTGTACTGTTACCTTGTTGTCTCTGCATTTTATGTGCAGAATTTTTTTTTCAGACAATGTTTTGACATCGATGATTTGGCAGAAGTGTTAATTCATTTGGAGTGTTAAACCATATTTCGGCATGACAATATTAAGCGGAAATCACATAGCGGAATCCGACCAACTTTAAAGATATTCAAACCAGAATACGTCGTGATTGATAATTTCGTTATCAATCACCATCCTGATAACATGGATTCAAGACTTTCTTAATTTTAAAATGATCAAATTGTTCCTCTGGTTTTGATATTTTGTAAAATGAACGTAGCTGATTACAGTATGGTGGACAATGTGAAAACGACAAGTACGTTACATATGCAGCTTTTTAATATTTAATATCTACTTTCTTAATACTGGTGGCCATATGTTTTCATTGTTTAGCTATTTTAAATCTTATTTAATGCTGTCATCTTCTTTAATCTTCTTTTTTTTCTTTTATCATCTACGCAATAGTTGCAGTACTCGTATTGTCTGTTGTCCCACCTGATAAAAAAATGACGATGTCGGTCGAACCTCGGATTCATTGAATACCATGTAATCCTCTAACTTTTGATCTTGACCCTACGTATACGAGTTCGAGTAAACAGGGTTTTACTGTATCTACAATTTTCTGTATGTATAAGGGTAGTACAACAGCCGCTCCTGGCAATTCCAGAATGGTGTGTGGGAGGTGAATACAATTAAAATTATACAAAGCTAAAAACTGGCTTGATTCTTACCAGTCAGTGACACTCAGCAGATAGTCTGAACATCAAAGTAATTATTTGTGACCAAAATGTAAGGTTGACATGTCAGTAGATCATTGGTATGTCTGTGTGACAGGTTGGATGGGAAGCTTGGGGAGGTTCCTGGTGAGACAGCTCCCCACGACAAACCTCTGACGGCAGCCGGAACGAGCTACGCATCCACTTTACGACGACCAGACCCCAGTCCCCCGGGAACGGCTACACCGGTACCACCAGGTAAGCCCTCGGGGACCGACGCCCACTTACCACAATCACCCACCACATACTCACCTGTGGCCCCAAACCCTAGGAGCAGCTATGCCAACATGGTGAAGAGGATGGGAGGGCCACAGGAAGTAGCGGTTGGGTTGGACGATGAGCAGGACCCCATGGATATAATTGATGAAATTCTCAATGGCGCAGGTAACGTATGATTGTCAGGCACACTTGTATGACTGGCTGCATCCTCCCCCACATTAGCACAGTCATCTTGGTCTAGGGTCATGGTTAGTCTGCCTCTCATTACACCCTCGCTGTCAACCCCTTACACCTCAACTATGGCAAGTTTTAGTTCAATTAGTTTGCATTCGAATAGCTCTGACGAAGCTTGAAAAATCTTAACTTTGATATGAATTATTTAAGCTATTTACATATGCTTTTGATATTTGATGTTGTCATAGTTTAACGTTGTTGATTAGCATGGTATCTTTAGTTTTACTGAAAAATCTTGTTCAACAACAATTTTTAAACCTTAAAACGCATTTGGCCTTTAGTTCCAGACATATTGTGATCAATATAATCCTGGCGATAAAGATGAAATTACAAGTACACTGTATTTTGATACGTAGTGTTTCAAAAGTAAAGATATCTGCATAGCTCAGGTGGAGGAACATGTATACAGATCAAGCCATTATGATAGACACTTAAAAAGTACCCCCTACACAACACCCTGAAGTCCACAATGCTCTTTCTGCCCTCTGTATGGCAGAGTAACATACCACTAACACCTAAACCAAACTAAACACAGTTCTTTATCAGATTGTCTTTTCAGGAGTTACTTGACCTGAAGGACACAATTGTAACGTTTTATATTCTCTTCATTTTCTATGAAATTGCAATTTTAGAAATAAGATTTGAAAGCTCATTAAAACAGATTTCCTAATGTTTTCATAATTTCATTTGGGAAAGTGGAAAATTTGGTCCTCAACATGTAGGAGGACCTCAAAATTTATATATATGACTGTATATCCCAGGCCTTGTGACTTAGACATCATACTTAATAGAAAAATAACTACAACTGTTACATATATGTATTTCTATATGTGTTTCAGAATGCTTTAGACATAGATTTTCATTCTTGTTAACTTAAGTTCCACTGACGAGTCCTACATGGACTGTGGCTATATTGTTTCAGTAAATGTTTACTTTGTTTGGCTCTCTACATCAACTTACTAAATTTTTAAATAGGTGCTTCCTTACTTTATATTTCTATTGATTATAAACTGGTGAAATTATCTATTAAAGTCAATATTTGTATCTAAAAGACAAAAGTAAACCTTGCAGCTTGTTGTTATGTGTTCCCAATTTAAGTATGAGGTTAATGGTTTAACCTTGACTCTGTTTCATAGACACGGAACACTAACTAGATATAAACTCACTACTTCATACAGTTTAGTAAGGGTAGTTTCTAATTCATCTGACATATCACCCATGATTACAACACATTATTTGGTTTTTGTAGTTCAAATATTATAGAAAATGCCTTTTTCCTTGTCCAAGTAAGCCTGCCAGTCATATGACACCTGTTGTTGTTGTGGATGTTGTTGTTGTTGTGGTTGTTGTTGGGTTTTTTTGGGGGGGAGAGGGGGAATGGAGGGCTGTTCCGCACACTCTTTAAATATGTCTAACGCACAGAAAATCGTAACACTTATGGTACCTGTTGTTTTGGGGGAGTGGGCTGTTCTACATACAGCGAGAAAAACAGTAAAACATGAGTGAAGATTTTCATTACATGTACATCTTTGTTGACAGTGTTTTCTTATCCGATTCCAATAAAATCCTTCACTTTGTTCCTCTCTGATACACTTCACTGTAAGGTCTGACAACGCCATGAGAGGTCACATTCAGGTGATATCAGATGCTTACATTTACACGTTTTCCAACAACAAGAATTTTGAGTACTTCACACTGATTTGCAAGTAAAACGTCACCAGAACATAACCCCTGTTGACATCGTCAGATCCCACACTGTGTTGTGTCAAAGTGGAGAAGAGTAAAGGATTCAGTTATCAAATTCATACACAAAAATTCTCATGCAGCTTGTATATCATTCTGCAAAGACGGGCATTATACCATGAGTCTTGATGAGGTGAGGTCAAAGCAAAACATTGTTATAATGCTGTGTTCATGCCAGGTGACCATACACAAGTGATGTACGTAGATGTCTAACCAAACAACAGGAAAATCACCTTTTTATGCAAACATTTTTGCATTCAAGAACTGTCAGTATAGGTGATACCACATGTCCTTAATACAACACTACATACTAAGTTTCATTTAAACCTCAAATCTGTTCAGTAACTGCTACAGCATGGACATCATAACCATACACTACTTACACTGTTAGTTGTTAAACATTGTCACGACTGTGTGGAACTGTCCCTTCACCGATCTGATGAGATTGTTCATGTGATTTAATACTGACTTATTAAGTGGTGCTAATGTCTGTGTGTTAAATGCTGTGTTTTGGGTGAACATATGTTGATTGTGTAAAATGTGTCTTCTAATCACCATTTAATGTCTATTCAAAACTTCATGAGATGTACTTTTTCTGATTCTACTGTTACTTGACTAAAGAGTCAAACAATGAGTTTTGAAGTACTGTATGCATATATTACCACTGTATGGCATTACCACTATATAACCTTGCAATATAAATATATCAGTATAACTATTCTTGCAATATATATCAATTTAATAACATACAATTTTTATATTGAACTCATGTTAACTAATTGTTTAATACCACCATGCCTTCCATACAGGCAGGAATACCTTATTTCTGTACAGTGTATTTGTATATGAAAAATATGATTAATTCAGGTACTGAATACACATGAATTTTGCTAACAATGAGTTGAACATGTGATATGTGAAATTATTGGAAATTGATAGTATAAGTCAGATCTATAGTGGTATGTCAATCATGAATTAAAATAACACCTAAAAATACTCCGACAATTACAGAATATTCACAAAGTTGAAGTGATATCCTGTTGATGAAGCTGCAGGCTATGATTAGTGCTGTCAGGCTGCATCGTGTCAGTGTGGAAACTGCCAAAGTTAAATAAATGGCTCTATGGAGCTAATATCGCTATGCTTTATGCTTAGTGGTTATAGCATGCAACACTTATTTTATTGGCCAGAACTTACTCTTACATATGACAAACTCCAAATTACAACAATTTTAAAATAAACCACTGTGATATTAAAATAAAGACATTACCTTTCAGGAAATGCACCAAAGCCAAGTTTTAAGATTTTACAAACAGAAAGACAATTTGCTCGATATGATTGGTTCAATATATCTATTTATAATTCAGCATTTTACCGCATATTTTGTTAAGTTAGCATGTATGCATGACTGTTATGCAAACACAGTTGAAATGCCGCGATTTATAGAACAATTGATGGTTAAACAATAGAATATTTATTCACCAATTTCATAACCTCTTTTTTTAATACCAAATTTGACAATGATGTTAGGTAGGTGTGGTAATAGGTTCCTATAACCTATTTTAGCATTGCAGAAACAGTACAGTGAGTAGATGGCTCGGCGTCTTGTCCAGTTAAGATCCCAACCTTGTACATGTATACATAATCTGTGCTTCAAAGTGATTGGCTGAGTGGTTACGCCTTGAAGCTTTAAAGCTTCCATTTCTGTGCAGGCCAGTTAGTGGTTAGGTCAAACAAAATTAAAAGTTGTATTTCCTGTTTGGGCCCAAAAAAAAAAAAGATGGAATAGATAGATATGCGAAAGATTTTATCATTATGTCTTTTTAATTTACTGAAATGCGATTTTCTTATGTGTAAAAATAATGTTATGATATGGTTTGTTTGATGAACCACTATTAATTACGGTACATGTATAAACATGTGGATCTCTTGAACAAAGGTAAAATACATTGTCTTGTACATTCTTATGAAAACTGAAGTTGGGGCGGCATTTTATGGTCAGAGTAGGTGGTGAAACAGAAAACACAGCTATTATTTTGTTCGGGTGTATTGTGTGGCACTAGTGTATACAAGACATGTCAAATCAAGGACTACATGAGCACATCTGGGTACGGCATCATACCTGCTATTCTGCATGAACATTGCTTTTTTTTTCAGTTTCTATTTCAAGATTGTTGTGATGTGATGTTATGGGGTTGTTCTTTTTGTTATTTATACATGATTTTTAAAACAAATAAAAAGGTTTTACTTTAAGTCTTTTAAAATGATATTTTCTTATTTACAAGAAAAATATATATCCAAGTATTACTTATTAAATATTACATTTATTTAATATGTGTATTGGTTACATTTTTATATCTTTTGTTACATTACATTGTAAATTTCTATAAATTTGCAAGAAAATTAACAGAGCACCTATGATTAAGATGATGTCATACAGGTATAACAAAGTTAATTTGCCTGTTATACCTTTCAGAGTCCCAGCCGTATCAGGAGGTAGACCAAGGTGCTATGGGTGGTGAAGGAGGTGGCTCCCCTGGCCTCGGACAGCTCCGGCTCGATGATGATAATGAGTTCCCACCAATGACACACAAGAACGACTGAAACCATAACGTGTCCAGGTCACCATAAACTGCCAGAGGTCGTCGAAAATGGATTGGAGAATATATTTGGTGTGGGAGCCACTGCAGATTTGAAAGATTTCTTGGAGCAATATCAGTGATGTTTTAGCAAGATTAATGTGTAAAGGAGAAAGTCATATAAAAGAGGATGGTTAATACTGATGATTTCTGGGGGGGAAAATCAACTGAAATAAAAATTGATTTAAGGAAAATTGCCTTTTCATGTTACAGAATGTATTTCATAATACAGGTGAGATTTTATCCTGAACACATTTTCCATATAGTATATGAAATATATTGAAAATCATGAAAATGTTCTTTTTGCGACTATACAATGTTCATGTTTAACAGGAACAGTATTTTATCATTTTTAGTCCTTGGTAACCAGCTACTACATTCCCAGCCTGGCCTGATAGATGTAGCGAATCTAACCAACGCTGTATCTATGGCTGTTGTACTAGTTAAATTCATTTTTTCAACCACATTTAGGACAAGGGACATATCTAACTCTGAGAACGACTTCTACTAATTTTATGATATCAGCAATTATTTGATTTCAGCTGAGTTTAAAGCTTTTTTAAAATCATGCACCTTGCTTTCCAGTGTCAAATTTATTAACTGTACAAGTCAATTATATTTGTTGGTGTTTTTGTATGTGATTTAATCTATTCTAATAAAGCAATTTGGTCAAATACATTTATGTTTAAATAAAGTGATGTAGTCTATTTTGAATACATTTTGTGAAACAACTGGACTAAATGTAATAAACTGTATGAATTGTGTGATTTGACCTGATGAAATCAAGCTTCTTTTGTCTTCCTAATTCTAGCACAATTAATGCATCAGCTATCAGCCCTTTTAAAGTTATCAGATACAATTTCTTCACCATTTCAAACCAATTAACATGATAAATTCCATTGTATGAGATGTCCGGTGTGCTGTAATTGTGATGTGTGGACAGCGTGTCCCTGCTACACGTGATGTCAGTGTTTGTTATCCTGCCTGTCTCGGCTGTTTAGCACTGTTGTTAGTAGTGTCTTAGGGAGGACAGGTTTTGTAGACTGTACTTCTGTTTTCTTATTGGTAAATTGCTGTACTTTAATAATTAAACTGACACTAGACATATAGTTATCAAAAGCCTTTCTAATGGTAAACATATATGTGTGTATACATGTATATATGAAAAGGGGGTGGGGAAACAAAGATTTAAGCAACTGCCTAGCACTTTAACCTTTTCAGAGGTTCGTTGGGGGATTAAGTAAAGTGGGTAGAACCAGGAGAATTATCATAATATTGTTAGATGAAAATCATTTTTAATCCAATGACATGCCTATTTTGTGTTGAGGTATATGATAAAGAATGTAGCATGTCATTATATTAATGACTCGATCCTGGAGAGTAATACCTCGGTAAGTCACCACAGAAATGTTCATCAGCAATGTCAATGCTCAGGTAGGATGTTAGAAACTAGCCACAAGTATGTATATACAGTCATAATACCTTAACAGGTACACATGTAGGCCAATAGGAAGGGCTCCGGTAGTGTTACATGTAAGGGGGAACTTGTGAGCTGAAACCTTATAGATTATGTATGATTTGAAAAACGTTGAAATGTATGACTGGTAGAAACCGAACACTGGCGTCATGTCAGTTTTGGTGCAGTTGACATGGAGAACAGCTTCTAGTCAAAATGGTTTACAGCTAAACAAAGAAAAACAGTTCAGTTGGTCAGTCATCAAACATCTCTTGTTGTAAAAAAAACAACATGATCAATAACAAGATACTTTTTTTCTTCTAATTATTAATTCATGTATTTAATGTTCTGTATAAATTTAACTATATCAATTTTGTGATAACATACTGCTATGTGAGGATGGATGGTACATGTGAGGATTAAATGTGTATTTTTGTGACTACTCATTTGTCATTGGACGTGGCACTCCTGAACTGCTTCCTGTGTACCCACAGGGACATATATCATTACTGGGAAAATATGTCGGATACAGTTGATGTATATTTAGTAAGGATTATGATGTCCTAGTTAAGGACACCCACTTCTGTGGTGAAAACAGGGCCCTTGTACGTCTTTGTGAGGAGGTATTACTTCAACTTCAATAACTGTTAATAAATATTTCTTATGACGCCATTAGTTGTCTTTGCCTTGTTTTACTTTTGTAGTTTCCTGTGATTCCACTGGCATTTATATTGCGCATTTATATCAACTGAAAGCAGTTCAATACTTGAACATGTCGGGGGCGTAGCTAGCCCTTGTTCAGAGTGGATACATTTAGGATTGGGTCCAGGACAGGGCCTTGGTAGAGGGCTGTGTGCCAGCGTATAGGCAGTTACATGCCTGATCGCTAGCAAGAACTTCGTTGAAAAGGGGGGTGGTAACACCTACATCTCGGCAGAGGATTAGTCAGAGCAAACTGAGTTACTCTGCCATCCAGTCTTTCATCCAAAGTGTGTGAAGGATTTACTGGCAGAAATGGTTTTGGACTGATTTAACTGCTTTCCTCAGTAATCACATGCCTGCCTCTACTGCATACATGGTTTACACTCCAATAACGTTTGCTACTTAAATGCCTATTACGTTTTTCTCGATCTATTTATCCTGTTGACAAAACTAGACCCGTTTTCTACTAGAAAGGATAACAACAATAACTAGGGCAAGATATGGACAAAGGAAAGATTTACAGTCGGACAATTGAAAACGTGCAAGGAGAATAAAGCCAGATGTTCCGGAAGGGAAGGCGTCTTCTCCGACGAGGAAATTTTGCGATCATTGTGACTCGATGTCCAACTATGGGATAAGATATGTTAGGTGTGTATTAGATCGTTTGAGATCGACGTGAATTACTGGAGTGACACAATATACTGGTCTATATGTGTCACCCCTGGAAGAACTCATTCAGTATTTGACTCTTCCGAATGGTGACTCAAATCGCATTTAATTTGTCGTTGTTTGTTGAAGCTGTGGTATTTATAATGCATGGAGATACTCAATTTTACTTTCATGCAATCATCAGATTATTCATAAAATGGCTGTTCACAACGCTTATTAAGGAAATATTTTAAGGAGTTTTACATTAAATAGGAGGAAACAAGATTGTTGCCAATGTCACAATACATGTGAGAAGAACATTGTGACTAGGGTCGAAGTAAATTATTAATCAGGCTCTGGAGTAGCGTATCAACTATACCATGTATCAATAGATGATCAATCAGGTTCTGTGTAGCGAATCAACAAAATTATATATCAATAGATTGTCAATCAGGCTCTGTGTAGCGAATCAACTATACTATGTATCAATATATTATCAATCAGGCTCTGGTGTAGCGAATCAACTATACCATGTATCAATAGATTATCAATCAGGCTCTGGTGTAGCGAATCAACTATACCATGTATCAATAGATTATCAATCAGGCTCTGGTGTAGCGAATCAACAATACCATATATCAATAGATGATCAATCATGCTCTGTGTAGCAAATCAACTATACCATGTATCAATAGATTATCAATCAGGTTCTGGTGTAGCGAATCAACTATACCATGTATCAATAGATTATCAATCAGGCTCTGGTGTAGCGAATCAACTATACCATATATCAATAGATTGTCAATCAGTCTCTGGTGTAGCGAATCAACTATACCATATATCAATAGATGATCAATCAGGCTCTGGTGTAGCGTATCAACTATACTATGTATCAATAGATAATCAATCTGGCTCTGTGTAGCGAATCAACAACACCATATAGCAATAGATTGCAAATCAGGCTCTGGTGTAGCGTATCAACTATACCATATAGCTATAGATTGTCAATCAGGCTCTGGTATAGCGTTTCAACTATACCATGTATTAATAGATTGTCAATCAAGCTCTGGTGTAGCGAATCAACTATACCATATATCAATAGATTATCAATCAGGCTCTGGTGTAGCGTATGAACTATACTATGTATCAATAGATTGTCAATCAAGCTCTGGTGTAGCGAATCAACTATACCATGCAACAGTAAATTATCAATCAGGCTCTGGTGTAGCGAATCAACTATAACATATATCAATAGATTGTCAATCAGGCTCTGGTGTAGCGTATCAACTAGACTATGTATCAATAGATTGTCAATCAAGCTCTGGTGTAGCCAATCAACTATACCATGTATCAATAGATTATCAATCAGGTTCTGGTGTAGCGTATCAACTATACTATGTATCAATAGATAATCAATCTGGCTCTGTGTAGCGAATCAACAACACCATATAGCAATAGATTGCAAATCAGGCTCTGGTGTAGCGTATCAACTATACCATATATTAATAGATTGTCAATCAAGCTCTGGTGTAGCGTATCAACTATACCATGCAACAGTAAATTATCAATCAGGCTCTGGTGTAGCGAATCAACTATACAATGTAGAAATAGATTGTCAATCAAGCTCTGGTGTAGCGAATCAACTATACCATATATCAATAGATTATCAATCAGGCTCTGGTGTAGCGAATCAAAAAAACCATACATGTATATCAATAGATGATCAATCAGTCTCTGTGTAGCGTATCAACTATACCATATATCAATAGATTATCAATCAGGCTCTGGTGTAGCGAATCAAAAAAACCATACATGTATATCAATAGATGATCAATCAGGCTCTGTGTAGCGAATCAACTATACCATATATCAATAGATGATCAATCAGGCTCTGGTGTAGCGTATCAACTATACCATGTAATGATATATTATCAATCAGGCTCTGGTATAGCGTATCAACTATACCATATATCAATAGATTATCAATCAGGCTCTGGTGTAGCGAATCAACAATACCATGTATCAATAGATTATCAATCAGGCTCTGGTGTAGCGTATCAACAATACCATGGATCAATAGATGATCAATCGGGCTCTGGTGTAGCGAATCAACTATACCATGTATCAATAGATTATCAATCAGGCTCTGGTGTAGCGAATCAACAATACCATGTATCAATAGATTATCAATCAGGCTCTGTGTAGCGTATCAACTATACCATAAATCAATAGATTATTAATCAGGCTCTGTGTAGCGTATCAACTATACCATATATCAATAGATTGTCAATCAAGCTCTGGTGTAGCGTATCAACTATACCATGTAACAATAGATTATCAATCAGGCTCTGGTGAATAGATTGTCAATCAAGCTCTGGTGTAGCGTATCAACTATACCATATATCAATAGATATTATCAATCAGGCTCTGGTGTAGCGAATCAGAAAAACCATACATGTATATCAATAGAATGATCAATCAGGCTCTGGTGTAGCGAATCAAAACCCCCCTATATATCAATAGATGATCAATCAGGTTCTGTGTAGCGTATCAACTATACCATTTATCAATAGATTATCAATCAGGCTCTGTGTAGCGAATCAAAAATACCATATATATCAATAGATGATCAATCAGGCTCTGGTGTAGCGAATCAAAAATACTATATATATCAATAGATGATCAATCAGGCTCTGTGTAGCGTATCAACTATACCATATATCAATAGATTATCAATCAGGCTCTGTGTAGCGAATCAAAAATACCATATATATCAATAGATGATCAATCAGGTTCTGTGTAGCGTATCAACTATACCATGTAACGATAGATTATCAATCAGGCTCTGGTGTAGCGAAACAACCATACCATATATCAATAGATTATTAATCAGGCTCTGTGTAGCGTATCAACTATACCATATATCAATAGATTATCAATCAGGCTCATGTGTAGCGAATCAACTATACCATATATCAATATATCATCAATCAGGCTTTGGTGTAGCGAATCAACTATACCATATATCAACAGATTATCAATCAGGCTCTGGTGTAGCGAAACAACCATACCATATATCAATAGATTATTAATCAGGCTCTGTGTAGCGTATCAACTATACCATATCTCAATAGATTGTCAATCAGTCTCTGGTGTAGCGAATCAACTACACCATATATCAATAGATTATCAATCAGGCTCTGGTGTAGCGAAACAACCATACCATATATCAATAGATTATTAATCAGGCTCTGTGTAGCGTATCAACTATACCATATCTCAATAGATTGTCAATCAGTCTCTGGTGTAGCGAATCAACTATACCATGTATCAATAGATGATCAATCAGGCTCTGGTGTAGCGTATCAACTATACCATATAGCTATAGATTGTCAATCAGGCTCTGGTGTAGCGTATCAGCTATAACATATATCAATAGATTGTCAATCAGGCTCTATGTAGCGTATCAACTATATACCATATATCAATAGATTGTCAATCAGGCTCTATGTAGCGTATCAACTATATACCATATATCAATAGATTGTCAATCAGGCTCTGGTGTAGCGTATCAACTATACCATGTAACAATAGATTATCAATATATCAATAGATGATCAATCAGGCTCTGTGTAGCGTATCAACTATACCATATCTCAATAGATTGTCAATCAGTCTCTGGTGTAGCGAATCAACTACACCATATATCAATAGATTATCAATCAGGCTCTGGTGTAGCGAAACAACCATACCATATATCAATAGATTATTAATCAGGCTCTGTGTAGCGTATCAACTATACCATATATCAATAGATTATCAATCAGGCTCTGGTGATTATCAATCAGGCTCTGGTGTAGCGAATCAACTATACCATATATCAATATATCATCAATCAGGCTATGGTGTAGCGAATCAACTATACCATATATCAACAGATTATCAATCAGGCTCTGGTGTAGCGAAACAACCATACCATATATCAATAGATTATTAATCAGGCTCTGTGTAGCGTATCAACTATACCATATCTCAATAGATTGTCAATCAGTCTCTGGTGTAGCGAATCAACTACACCATATATCAATAGATTATCAATCAGGCTCATGTGTAGCGAATCAACTATACCATATATCAATAGATTGTCAATCAGGCTCTGGTGTAGCGTATCAGCTATAACATATATCAATAGATTGTCAATCAGGCTCTATGTAGCGTATCAACTATATACCATATATCAATAGATTGTCAATCAGGCTCTTGTATAGCGTATCAACTATAGTAGCGTATCAACTATACCATGTAATGATATATTATCAATCAGGCTCTGGGGTAGCGAATCAACTATACCATATATCAGTAGATTATCAATCAGGCTCATGTGTAGCGAATCAACTATACCATATATCAATATATCATCAATCAGGCTATGGTGTAGCGAATCAACTATACCATATATCAATATATCATCAATCAGGCTTTGGTGTAGCGAATCAACTATACCATATATCAGTAGATTGTCAATCAGGCTCATGTGTAGCGAATCAACTATACCATATATCAATAGATTGTCAATCAGGCTCTGGTGTAGCGAATCAACTATACCATATATCAATTGATTATCAATCAGGGTCTGGTGTAGCGTATCAACTATACCATATATCAATAGATTGTCAATCAGGCTCTGTGTAGCGTATCAACTATACCATGTAACAATAGATTATCAATCAGGCTCTGGTGTAGCGAATCAACTATATCATATATCAATAATTTTCAATCAGACTCTGGAGTAGCGAATCAACTATACAATGTATCAATAGATTATCAATCAGGCTCTGGTGTAGCGAATCAACTATATATATATCAGTAGATTATCAATCAGGCTCTGGTGTAGCGAATCAACTATACCATATATCAATAGATTATCAATCAGGCTCTGGTGTAGCCAATCAACTATATATATATCAGTAGATTATCAATCAGGCTCTGGTGTAGCGAATCAACTATACCAAGTATCAATAGATTATCAATCAGGCTCTGGTGTAGCGAGTCAACTATACCATATATCAATAGATTATCAATCTGGCTCTGTGTAGCGAATCAACTATACCATATATCAATAGATTGTCAATCAGGCTCTATGTAGCGAATCAACTTTACCATGTAACAATAGATTATCAACCGGGCTCTGGTGTAGCGAATCAACTATACCATGTAACAATAGATTGTATATCAGGCTCTGGTGTAGCGTATCAACTATGCCATGTATCAATAGATTGTCAATCAGGCTCTGGTGTAGCGTATCAACTATACCATGTAACAATAGATTGTATATCAGGCTCTGGTGTAACGTATCAACTATGCCATGTATCAATAGATTGTCAATCAGGCTCTGTGTAGCGTATCAACTATACCATATATCAATAGATTGTCAATCAGGCTCTTGTAGGTTCCTATAGCGAATCAACTATACCATATATCAATAGATGATCAATCAGGCTCTGGTGTAGCGTATCAACTATACCATATATCAATGTATTATCATCAATCGCTGGTGTAGCGAGTCAACTATATATACTTTGAAACATAATTCATCTAACAAGATTGGCGCTAGCGTCTGTTGATATATATTGTACGCATGTTATGCATGCGATATATTTTATCAGAGACGTTTATATTACATAATTTATACGTCTCTGATTTTATATAGGTGAGTCGATTCTAAAATGATATATTTTGGATTGATTACCTCACAGCCTTTGAGGACCATGTTAAAAAGTGTTCGGTCACCACCCCATAGTGTCCCTCAGCCCTTGTCTTTCCTGTTTACAGTTGCTGTGTATAACAGTAAAATTATCGTCCGCAATTATTGCCCTTACTTTCCCATTAAACTTTGTATGGGAGGGATGCATTTTAAAACTTTAACATAGATAAATGTAGTTTTTGTACCATCTAGAACAGTGTAAAGGTTTCTGTACCAATTTAAAACACTGGTTTGTCTATGTATTATTGAACGGGCATTATTGAACCACGGTGAAACATCATTAACAGATAAGGAGGAAGAAGCCCCTTTTCGTGGCTAGCCGATCTCATTAGCACGGTAATTAAAATGAGACAATGTGTGATGATCTGATGGTTGTTGGACGTGGTCCGCCTCCTAATGATGATCGGTGACCAGAAAGGTGGTTTATAGACGTCGTTCTCGCGTTTATCATCACGCTCACGGAATACAGTTACGTTCTGAAAGGTGTCTGAAATATCATTAGCCTAAAATAAAGCCTAATACGCGATACTGAATGTACTACAGAAATAAACTGACGCATTTTAACCATTTACGCATTAAGTACTGAAGCACTCGTTACCTCAAGAACAAATAGTGATTAACCTTTATCTATAGTATTGAACTTGGGAGCACAACCATCTTTCTAAAGCCAGAATATGTTCTGGTGAATATTACATTATATTGGCAGTTAATCATGTTAAACAGTCCTAAGTAATAGTATCGTCAGAATTTATATGACAACATCTAGAGGAAAGACCATTATTAAGTAGCTTACGTGTTGTAGGACGATCTATGGATAAACAACCCTAGGCTCTGGAATAGCAACCCATTCACATTTGTATCTCAAACATGGGTGTGAAAACGGATTTTATAGAATTACTATGTCTTTGCATTGGTACAGTCTCCTCGAATCCTGTTATTATACTACTCTGTGTTGCAAATGTGGTGCTTATTTATTTATTTATTTAATCCTGTATTCCTTTTTATATATTTAATTTCCTTAATCATAAAGGACTGCAAACTTATCAAAATGCTAATTTTGTGTGTAGTTTTGATCGAAGTACAGGCAATTATTACGGGTACGTCACCATACGCCAGAGCACCATTTAGTCATCAACCGTCTCGTGAGCTCGTTAGCGCGTCATCGCGCGGTAACCTATCAGATAACATTACACCAGTAGCTACACGTGTATATATATAGGTATAGGTCCCCTGAGGTGAGTACAGGTAGAGCGGCCAGTCCCACACAGGAGTATATACCGCAAAACACAGGTACGTCAACTTCCGTGTCTAATCATACTAGTGTATGTTATAGTAGCTTATAGTAATAAGTATTTTTTTTAATACTAAATTACTATTATAATATTATTTCTAATATTTAATATTAGTATGCCCGTTGGACTTTGCTTGTGCAGAGGCACCGTTCTAATAGTATATCTGCAGCTAGAAGTTAATATAAATGCACAAGGAATTTTGTAAAATCTTGTTATGATATAGATATTTGTGGAAAACATGTCGATATCTATGGCAAATATTCAGACCTTTTTGCAAATTTTGTCATTAGTTTGCTAAACTATTTAATCAGAGAGTGTACTAATATACATATATGCATTAGCATAAATGGGATAATACAGTTTTTATGTTTTCCATTTGGAATATTTTTGTGTAAACTATTTTATATGAAAAAAATATTTCGAACAGTTGTCAAGACATCTGTTTCCTCATTCGAGTTAAGATTCAACAAGCGCCCTATAAGATGGTAACGTCACCCTAAATTTCAAGTCCCTGATAAGACCTTTATTAAACATCAAAATTCATATATGTTATTGAGATATATTGAGCTTGTACGTTTGTTATTAAAATGGTACATAGCGACGTGGAGGTAGTCAGCATAATGAATAAAGGCCGATTTATATATATATATATATAATAGAAGTTAACCGACAATAATATGTCAACCATATTTTATGGGGCTTGCTTGACCTTAAATTTACAAATAATGTGAAGCCAAACTTTTCCAACATTTTTTTTATTGAGCATTGATACGTAATCTTTCATTATTGTTGATGGAAAATACAGAAGGGTAGTTCCTCTGATATGTTTTTTTTCTCTCTCAAACAGATATGAAAAGTAAGCTGTTATTATATTGTAAACATATTGGTTTAAATATAGATTAATTTTCATCATAAAATATCATGTCACTAGCTTTTAAATGTCATTTGTTGATTGACTGCTATATAGAACCATCAAATGATCTTAATGGCATTTTACAATAAATCGGCGATGAAAATGATTGGTCCACATTGCAAAGCTTTGGTGCCTACCAATTATGTACGACTCCTTAAAAAGCTCCCGATTAGTAATATGTTCCTTAGAAAAATCATTTGCAAAGTTTCTTAATTAAAATAAAGTGTATTTTCACTTACCTTAACCATATATTGGAATATGTTTATAATTCTTATTTAAGATGCATTAAATTGGTTTCGTTGTCCTCTATATGTTTAAACAAAAATATAATCTTAATTTGATTGTACCCAAACAAGTTTCTTATAAGAAATATATTAACTGTATGCATTTTACATCGCAAACAATGCATGTTTTACATCATTACAACACTATAATACGATTAAATACACCTCACAACCATGTACCCGGATCTTTGATGATGCTACACCTTCCTCGAATGCCTCAATATCTCCTATTTGACAGTGTTACTTCGCCTATACGATCTTCTGGGAGTGTCACCTATCTTGTATCATTGTCGTCTGACATTGTTAACTCGCCAGTACACGCTCTTCTGGCGTTGTTAACTCGCCAGTACCAAGGTCTTCTGGCATTGTTAACTCGCCAGTACCATGGTCTCATGATATTGTTAACTCACCGGTACCATGGTTTCATGACATTGTTACCTCACCGGTACCATGGTCTCATGATATTGTTAACTCACCGGTACCATGGTCTCATGATATTGTTAACTCACCGGTACCATAGTCGTCTGACATTGTTAACTCACCGGTACCATGGTCTCATGACATTGTTAACTCACCGGTACCATAGTCGTCTGACATTGTTAACTCACCGGTACCATGGTCTCATGATATTGTTAACTCACCGGTACCATGGTTTCATGACATTGTTACCTCACCGGTACCTTGGTCTCATGACATTGTTAACTCACCGGTACCATGGTCTCATGATATTGTTAACTCACCGGTACCGTAGTCGTCTGACATTGTTAACTCACCGGTACCATGGTCTCATGACATTGTTAACTCACCGGTACCATGGTCGTCTGACATTGTTAACTCACCGGTACCATGGTCTCATGACATTGTTAACTCACCGGTACCATGATCTTCTGACACTGTTAACCCGCCAGCACCATCGACTTTAAGTTACTCAACAACTTTCATGGAATAATCAATGTAGGAAGTGAAATCTCGTTGGTGGAAATCAGTTTGTTTCAAGTGTAAAATATTATATTTACTCCTTTTTTTATTTTACAATTAATGACATTTCGTGACCAATCTTCACTTTTATAACTTCCCCTTCCTCATTTAATAATATGCAATTAATTTCTTAATTTTATGATAATTGGAAAATTGACTTATTGACCTTTGCATACCATGACACGAACTTTTGATCACCCAGGTATGATATCAGTAAATACCAAATGTCAAGTAATTATCCTTAAGGTCATAATTGGCATTCACTTGTTCACTGACCTGGACAAGTTACTTACCAACATTTAAGTACGGTGTGTGTGGTGTTCTATCCTTGATCTAAAACAAACTGCATCCCGTTCACTCACTCATGCAGTGCACGTATGTCCCCGTCAAGTGTGTCAGTGAACTAGTGGGTTGGGCTAACATTTACTACCAGGAAGATCATGAGGGGTCGTGCACCCATGTCCAGACTTAATATCAATAAGTTGCGAGCATAAAATGATGATTCCTTTTAATCTTAATACCAATAAGGAAATAAACAGGCGACCTGAAAAGTACCTAACATTTGTTGATATTAATGAAAACAAGGCTTTAAGCGAGTCCAGTGTGATTCCAGTTGTGGACAGACAGGTGTTTACACCACAGGTAAACATTGATCCATCTAACTAGGACATTGACACTACCATAGATACGGTTACAGTCCCCACGCGGGGACACACTCGGCGGTTTTCTAATATCCACATATATTAGACTTCATCAACCNACTTAAACTTAAAAACCAATAGACACGTGACGTACTAGAGTCGGACACGTGACGTACTAGAGTCGGAGAGATTACTGTTATAACTCCCACAAAAACACAACTACAGATCGTCTCATTATACTGCTAATGTGTTTTCTATTCTTGTAAAGCGTTAATTGTCTTTGGTCGATGTCTTTGTATAATCTTTAAAAAATGTTTACTTATATCTGTTTCACCATAAAATATAAAAATGTCTGTATTAGATCTTAACATGCGTTTACACAATTGAATTTGAATTGTGTCCATACTGTTTCCGAAGCCCCAGCCATACAGAAGTAGTAGTTGCTAATCACACTCTTCAGTTAACATAACGTTCGTTTGTGCTGATTGTTTAACATTGTCATTATAGTTCATTATATAGCATATTTAACCATTAACAGTGAGTTTTCATGTATTACAATATACCAAGTGTTTTAAAAGTACAGACTGTAATCCGTCTGTTGATTCTGACATAACAAAATCGTCTGAACACAGGATAATAAATCACTTTCAATACAATCCAATATTAATATTTCAAATGTTTTGTATTGTTCGGGAAAATATGGATATGAATGAAAAGCCTTGGTNATCTATAATAATACCTTGTTATCTACACATCTATAATAATACCTTGTTATCTACACATCTATAATAATACCTTGTTATCTACACATCTATAATAATACCTTGTTATCTACAAATCTATAATAAAACCTTTTTATCTACACATCTATAATAATACCTTGTTCTCTACACATCTATAATAATACCTTGTTATCTACACATCTATAATA